GCCTTCTCAGAAAATATATGCTATTTCCTCAAAACCAGCCAAGCCCACAAGAAAACGAGTTACTACGAAAAAACTGAGTCACAAGTTGCAAAAAGGTTCCACAGACGGCAGAACTATGTTCCTTCAAACAATTCTAGAAGTTCAGACAGTGAAGTCGTGAGTGTGTCATTAGAGATAATATTCAGCATATGTGTAAAGGATGCAGATGTTGACTTACTGAAAAACTCACGACAGTTATTCGCATGGTGAGCTAGAAACTCTGTTATGTCAGTCACAGATGTCTCCCCGTCATATGGAATGACTTTGTTTCTCTCGGCTGGAAATAATATCAGAGAAGGATACACTTCCCTCTGCAACGTTACAGATTCATAGAGCGTGTGAATACTGGATTCATAAATGAGAATACGATATAATCATGAGCTCTCAATATTTAATAGTGGTTTGAGAGGAAGAAATGTTTGCATTGCGAATTGCGATAGATGCAATAGCAATACTGTGAAATGCAAATAATAGAATTAATAAAAGAAACCAGACAAGCTATCATTGGAAGTACCTGATTTATTGTTTTTAGGATCAAGCTGCAATCATTCAACGTGCAGTCCATTAAGTAGATTAGTGGAGATTTCTGATTCTTGCCATTAATTGGTTCCTCTGCTTCAGAATAGAAAAAGCAGCAGAGAAGAGAATGAGGGAAAAACTGAAAACATGTCCATTTCACTTTCGGTTTTACACTCACATAGAAAGATAGAAGTAAAAACTAGTCAACCTTTAACAAATGGTAATAAAGATCCAATTACCTGATTTGAAAAGTCTTTGATTGTTCCTGGATCCTCTTTGTATTATCACTTTATATTCCTTTAGTGATCGGTATACTTCACGTAGAACTAACTCCATCCTCTGACAAAACCCACACCAATTGTTGCTAAAAAGTACCAAAACGTCCTGGCACAAAGGACAAGGAGCCTTCTCTGCTGCAGTGGATTGATTCCATGCATGAACCATGTGGGAGAAAGTATTGACTGTGACACGGGGAACAGAATCCACCTCGTGAAAATCCAGATTGACAAAAGGTGGAATTGTAGCTTTTCTAGGCATTTGAATAGTAGATTCAGACTGTGTATAAGGTGATAGACTTCCATTGCGATATCTATGAAGAAAGTCGACCAGTGACGAATAGCTGAATGCTACCTCATCTTGAAGGACATAGTGATGTTGTAAAGCAGGATCAATTATCACTGCTGATGGAATCTTTACATCACCAGTCAGAGCCCTTAGTAACGCGTAATTTGCATCATAGAAGAAAAATGAACCCGTGAAACTATGCACTAGATCTTCCTTCGATTCCGAGCGCAATGATACTTTGATCTCTCCATTAAAATTTTCTGTTAAATAAACCTTAGCCTTATCGGTATCGGTCATTACTAATTGTTCACTTCTATTTGTTGAAACCTTCTCTTCATCATTTGGAGAGGAGGATTCAACCTCAGAAGATTTCATATCATCTTTTTCTTCAGAACTCTTACCGACCCGGTTCTGCACATTTCCTTCTTCAGGGTGAAGAGAAATTTCACTGGAACCTTCTGCAGAAGATGAAGATGTGTCTTGACCAGACATAACTTCTGCTTGTGACGGTAACACATCCAGTACTTTTATGTGCATATCATCAGATAACAGACGGAAACCAACATCCTTGGCAATCGAGCTCAATTTACCTTCTTTTCTTCTGTGAATAAGATTTGTCAGTATCTCCTGCAGAGAACTGCCTTCCATACCCGAAGCTATACTATCTAGGGCTACATTTTTATCCCCATCCAAAATCACAAAAGAGACCTTATTCTCTAACTTAATTGTCTTCAACTTTCGGGCAGTTTTCGGAAGTGACACGGACCCCGATTCTTGGTCAGCCTGGCTAACGGAGTTCTCATACTTAATATCCTGCTCCCAGTTTATTACGTTCGACAATTTATGCTGTGCAGCTACCTTTCTGAAAGTATCAAGTGCTTTCATACTCCTCCTCCTATCCTCCAAGGAGCCACTTGATCTATCCACAAAAAGAATAACCGAAGGTTTACTTGCAGGTAAAGATGACTCATGGTCTTGTTGGTCATCCTCCAGCTGCATGAGAAAAGCAAAGATGATTGATGCATGTAAGGCATGATGGACTATTTTAAAAGGACATAACTATATAAGCTTAATATATCAATAGAACGCATAGAAATGCAACTGTAATTTCAAATTGTATCGACTGAAACAACATAAGAGATCTTGCTTTAACGACAAATGGGCGTCTCCTGTTATAGATATGCTGTCACTGGAGTAATACAAATTCAATGCACAGAAAAACATAAAAACCCAGTTCTAGCTACACTATACTTTGACAGATAAAATAGCAGGCAAAAACGTTATGCACAGTAAGAACCAAAATTAGATCTAGATTCATATATGGAAGCAAAATCTCGAGTTATATATGCCTCTTCGTGTATTTGTTGCAACATCTCTTCTGCAATGAAGTAATCTAGACAGGACACCAACTCCACTGTGTACTTTGAATAGTTAGATTTCAAGTAGTTTAAGTTACAGAAGTGGTTTCTACCAATAAACTATATAGCAAGCACATGGTCCCACTTAGCAAATTACACACTCATTTAGCTACAGATATTTCTCCCCAACGAACAAGATAAAAGTACCTAAATATGCAAAATCAACTAAAACATATGGACATAAAGAGAACCATACCTCTGCGACTATCGGATTTTCCCTCTTTAAGAGTCTCTGAATATCGTCCCCGACCTTAAGAATCCTTGAACAATGTGGACATCCTGCCAGCTGAAGGACCGCTGCCCACGAATCAGATGCTCCAATATTAAAAGATGAAGCCAGCGATGCTTCTGTGATCAGACCAAATTTTTGCCTTTCAGGAGGCAGAGAAAACTCTTTTGCGGTGGCAATCAATTTCGAGAGGAATGAACTGAATTGTTCGAACTGGTCATGGTTACATGTCCCAAAACCCCGATTTTCTCTGCCAGTCTCCTGCAAAGAAGTAGTATCATTGACATAGCTAAAATCCTCAAGCCAAGGAATTCTACCAAATCCGCTTTGGAGTCTACACATCAGTTTCCATTTTGCATGGTCGGTTTCTAGGGCACGAATAAAATCATACATTATGGAGGCACTACCACAAACAATTACATATCAACATCGTCTAGAAAATGAAGTGAGAATCTACCAGCCACCTTCTGGTTATTTTTTCCTCTTAGCTTTAGCACCCGGTCAGTTTCTACCTTTTTTGACAAGTTACCTGCAAAGTTGTGTTCAGAATGTCTAAGGAATCAGCCAAACATTCCGACTTTGATAAAAAGCACTAAATATCCTATGCAATATGGGGAGTTTACCAATGCATTATTGGGAGAAAGTAATCTAGTTGACAGGAAATAGAAGATATTTTGATAGACACTAGTCTCACGGTAAGACTAATAGACTAAAATGCTAAGGATTAGAGATGTTAGACGTAAAAAATTCTACGCTAAACTCTAAAGATCTAATACTCTGTAGAGCTCACTCACCCTAACAAAGTAGTAACTTAATTGATTAGGAGATCAAGAAAATTCTCTAGAAAATCAAATCCTGTACAAAGGAAGATCGACTCACCTTGCCAAAGGCTATCTTCAGTTACATTTTTCTTCAACTCAGGCAGAAGTGTAGCTGTCCATCCGCAAAATTCGAACAGAAGTATAGCCTTGTCAGATGATTCAAGGAAATCTTTCAAAGTCTCTGGAGACTTCAAATGCTTAAGAGGGAGTTCTTCGGGAGTAGAAGTCAGATAAGGATGTATAGAGGACAATATGTTGGAGGCTCGGAGTTTCCCAAGATAGTTGTAAGGCACACTATGGTGATAGTACAAAACTGTTACCCCATTGTTGGCAGCAGCACCAATGGCTTGTGCTAGATTCTTCTCTGAATTTCTGTGCACAAACATGAATTTCAACAAGCCAAACTCCTCACTACTCTGAGCCAACTGAGTAATTTCGTGCTTAAGGGATCTGGACTCACCACACCCTATAAATCAGCAATAAAGAGAAAACCAACATAAGACACTGATAGCATCTCTACATTCGCTAGCGTGATACACAGAGAGGGAGAGAGAGATGGAATGGGTACATGGAGGGGTGACAAAGAGGAGGACGTGAGGGTGGAGACGAATCTGAGACGAGAAATTTCGTTCCGTGAGGATCTCCCATTCGCCATAGCCGATGGACGGAGGAATAATGGATACGAAGGCGAGAAGGAGGAGGAGCGCCGGCGTTTTCATTGGAAAATCGCTCAGTCGCGTCTTCGTCTTCCTTCGTTTGACGTCCCTCGGCG